GATCATCAGGAACTCTGTTTCAGGGGGTCTGGCTTGATCAAACCACATTAGTCTGGAAGGAATCCACAGCTTTTTATTTCCTGTTGAAACAAAAATAGAAATCCTTTTCCCCAGTAACTTGTCCTTGAACTTAAATTTTTGAGTCAAAGCATTTTTAAAATATATAAATTTAATTAATCCAGCAGCATTTCCTTTATCAGTTGTTGTTATTTTCTCAGCAGTCAAACAATGTAAAGACAACACAATAGCATACAGTAACCAGATTCTCTCTGAGCTTTTCATCTTTATGTGGCTTTATTATTATTCTGTTTATTTTACTTTTATTTTTTTATTTTTTGACATAGGGTTTCACTGTGTAACTCTTATCTGTCCTGGAATTTACTCTGCATACCAGGTTTACTTTGCAAATCACAGAGATCTGCTTGCCTCTGTCTCCTGAGTGCTGGGATTAAAGGCGTGTGCTACAACACCCAGTTCCTCTTTGTCTATTTAAAACCATTTTATTTTTCTCTCCCAAGCCTATGTATTTTTTTTTTTTTAACACACTGTAAACTTTTAGCACCTTTTCTTAATGTGAATCTGTCTCTACTGTAAATCTATTATCTTTTTCTGGCCATGAGTCTTTATCTGTTAAACAACAACATTGTTAAAATTAAAGTCTTTGTTTCTGCCGCGGTTTACCAAAGATGGTGGCGGGTACTTTTACCGCCAGCACTGAGAGCTGTGCTCACCACCTTGGTCTGCGCTGCCACCCAGAAAGCATGCTGCCGGCTTGGAGATGTGGTCACTGCCATTGCCATCTCTCATACACACCAATGAATTGTTAGCAGAGTTGTTTGAAAGCTGTGCGGTTTTTTGCCACTCAAGCTGAGTCAGGAACCTTCCCTTAAAGGAGCAGCGCGAATATCTGCTTGTCTCTAGCAAAGCAGAGTTCAACTGAGAAAAATGCTGCTACCAAGAAACATTGCTTGTCTCTGTTCTTTTGTTTCTAAAACCTTTTTTTAAGCTTTTGTTAAATTTTAAGTGGAAGTTCTTATTAGCCACGTGGGCGCCATTTGTAACCAGTACGGGTTTTTCTGCCTGCCGCTTGGTTTTGTCCTGCCGCTGCGCCGCCAGCCCCAAATAACACACAGAGACTTTGTATTTGGTATTATACTGTTGGCCTGGTTACTTGTTTCTTATCGGCTAGCTCTGCCTTTAATTATTAACCCATTTGTGCTGATCTATGTATTTCTCTTACCGGGGAGCAAGCGGCATACTGCTTTCTTCAGACTCTCCATCTTGACTCCTCCTTACTACTTCCTATTTCCTCCTTGTCTCCTAGTCCCTCCTATCTTCCTTTCCTATTGGCCAACAGTGCTTTATTATTAACCAGTATGAGAAACATATACAGAATGACATCTCCCATCACCACCACACCTGGAGGATCTTGTTACAATACAGGTAAAGCTTCTATAAAGATGCAGGTGGGATTGTAAACAGTTGTGGTCCTTGAACTAGTCTTTCAGCAGTTAGGTACAGAAGCCTCCCAGTCTGTCTCACTTTGCTACTATTGTCTACAGTTAAGCTACTCTAACACATCAATATTTTGTTTTGTGATTGTGGTTAGGATGACTTGTTTCAGAGTCTTTCATTATCCCAGCAACAAAATGAATTGTTTATTAATTTTATAGGTTTGAGTTGTTGAGATAGGGCAGTGGTTCTCAACCAGTGAGTTGCAACCCCTCGGTGGGGGGTCAAACAACCCTTTCACAGGGGTCCCATATCAGATATCCTGCATAGCAGATATACACTATGATTCATAACAGTTGCAAAATTACAGTTATGAAGTGGCAATGAAATAATTTTATGATGGAGGTGGTTACCACATGTGAGGAACTGTATTAAAGGGTCACAGCATTAGGAAGGTTGAGAACCACCACTGAGATAGGGGCTTGCTGTGTTGCCCAAGGTGGCCTTGGACAATTGTGCTCAAGCCATATCCCTGCCTCAGCCTCCAGAATAGCTAGGGCTGTACAGGCATAATTATAGTGTTATGCCACCTTAAGGACTGACTATTACTTTATTACCTTTGCATTGTGATATCTCGGCCAACTAATTTTTATCTTCCTATTTGTAGCAACCAAGCAAGTTTTCTCAGCCTTATAGTCTTTTTCTATGATTTGGGATGCTACTTTAATCTTTCTTCAAGTTTCAGGACATACAGATCTGCTCTCTGTTTTCTCCTTTCATGGTTCAAATATATACTTATGTACTAGCATTGTACAGTTCTTATGTGTACAGCTTTGAAGTATGTTTCAATGCATTGAAGGGTAACTTTACACCTTTGTCCTTCCTTTTCATATTTGTTGTTTTATCTGTAAGTAGGGCTGTATAGTCATTTGTTTAGAGCTTTCACATATTTTAGTAGAACTTAAAGTATTTTTCATAAGATCTTATGGGATATTATTTACATTTTTTTACAAATATTGCTACTTTTGAGAACAGTATTTTACTTCTGCTATATTTACTCATCGATATTTCCAATATAGAAATAGTCAGTAGTTTTTATAAGCTAATTTTTTTTTTGTTTCCCTACTTTGATGGCCTTTCTTATTTTTGTTGCTTTGGCTCATTTTCCTATGTAGATTCTTCTACTGTCTGTAAATAGAGACAGTTTGGTTTGACCCACTTTTTAACATTTTAATTCCATTTTTTGTCCTCATCATTTGTCTATAGACTATTTTAAAAGTAGGTTTAAGTATACAGAAAGATTCAGGCTGTTCTTGGTTCATTAACAGTATTCACTTAAGGTTCTTCTTTGACTTTTTGTGGCTCGATAGTTCATTCTTTCCCATTTCCTTTCCTTTCTTTTTCTTTTTTTGAGACAGGGTCTTTTTTCATCTCTCTATGTAGTCCTGGTTGTCTTAGAACTCACTTCATAGATCAGGCTGGCCCCAAACTTGGATTCCCCTGCCTCTGTCTCCCAAGTGCTAATATTAAAGGTGTGTGCCACTGTACCCAACTTAGTTCATTCTTTTTCCTTGCCAACAAATGATACTTTATTGCATGACTGTACCAGGTTGCTTATCCAATTGCCTATTGAAAGGCACTTGCTCGTAGGTTTTTCCAGTTGTGGAGAAGATTGTTATGAACATTCATGTATGTGTTTTCATCTTGACATAGTTTTCAGTTTATGTGAGTGAAGCCCCAGAAATATGGTTGCTGGGTGGTATGGCAAATGCACGTTTAGGTTGGTGGGAAATTGTTACACTGCCTTACACAGTGTCTGTGCCACCTTTAGTGCTCACCAAGAATGAGTGAGAGAGCCTGCTGCTCTACTTTCTCACCACTGTTGGTATTAGTGCCATGGCTTTTAGCCATCCTGTTAGGTGTATAGTGGGTCTCATTATTGTTTTTATCTCTGTCTACTGAGTGTTAGTTGATATATGGGTACTTCTTTGGTAAGATGTCTATTCAGATCTTTAGTCATTTTTTAGTTGGGTGTTTTCTTATTACTAAGTATTAACCGTCCATGCATCCATCCATCCATCCATCCATCCATCCATCCATCCATCTCTTTGTTAGGTATTATGTTTTGCAATGATTTTCCCAAAGGCTATGTATGCCTTGTCTTTTTATGTGTTTAACAATGTCTTCTTTAGAGGAGACATTTTAACTTCCTTTTTTATGTGTATGTGCATATATATGTATGTGCATGTACATATATATGTATGTAGGTGGAGATAAGAGGTGGATGCCAGGTGACTTTTTGTATCACTCTCTACCTTGGCTTTTGAGACAGACTCTCGTTGAATCTGGAGCTCATTGATGTGGCTAGACCAACTTCCAATGAGTTCTGTAGTCTTCCTGACTCTGCCTCCCTAGCTAGGGTTACAGGAATACAGGAGATTCTTAGGGGGTCTAAGTCAGGTTCATATGCTTTTTTAACTGAACTATCTCTGTAGTCCCAAATATTTTAACTGAAAAATTATAATTATCATGTGTGTGGGTACATGTATCCCAGTGCACATATGGAGGTCAGGGGACAACTCTGTGGAGTCAGTTCTCTCTTTCTACTTCTGTGTGGGTTCTGGAGAGCAAACCCAGGTCACCAGGCTTGCATAGTAAGCACACTGACCTGTGTGGTCATCTTGCCAGCATCAATGTTCTTAATTTTAATGAAGTTTATTTACTAATCATTCCCTCATGGATCCAAAAATTAATTGTGAAACCCAAAGTAAACTAGATTTTTTTTTTCAGTGTTGTCTCATGGAAGTTTTACAGTTTTGCATTTTACATTGAAATTTATGAGCTGGTTTGAGGCAATTTTTGTGAATGCCTGTGTCACCTTTTGTTTTTAAATGTATGTCCAGCTTTCTCCGTGCTGTTTGTTGAAAGCATTCTGCTTGTTGCACTGAGCTGCTTTTGCTCTTGTTAAAATCAGTTGGCTGGGGGGATTGGCTCTATTTTCTACCTTGGGGCCCTTTATTCCTCTCCATCAATCTGTTTTTCTAGCAGTGTCACATTGCTTTCATTACGATGGTTGCCTTATAATTTGCCTTATAACCTTGAATTTCTGAAAAAGTATTTGTGGTATGTTGTAATTTTAGTTGCAGAGGAACTGTGTTAATTTTAATGAAATGACAAAAAATTTAAAAGTGAAAATATTGATTCTTCTTCTAGGGGTATCATTCTTTCAATAGCTGGTACAAAATTCTTCCAGTAGGATGAGGACCAACCCATGGACTTTCTGCCTGCTGTCACTTACTTATCTGATAACACTGAAAATCATAAGCATAGATGGGGAGAAATTCTGTGTATTGGTTAATCTTAAATATTATTGTGTTCTTTTTCAGTTGTGACTTAGCATTGCATATTATATAAAGTTCACACAGATTCAGCTTAATATTTCAATATTATTTCAATAGTAATATTTTAATAATTGACCATTTGACAGATATTTGCTGGAATATGCATATGTGAAAATTTGACTACATTCCATTTTGGATTCCTTTTAGATCAATGATGCCTTCCTCCATGTGATTCAGCGCAAATCCACGGGCAAGGTGCTCCTCTCCCTTAAGTGAATTCTCACCCTGGCAGCAGATTCCCGGATCTGATCTCCCTCCTGCATTTTAAAGGTCTCTGCCTTCCTTACTGCCCCAGGTGCCACATCTTGGTGTCAGTTCCCTCTGGTTCTGCTTTCCTGTTACTCATAATTGGTGTGATTGAGAGACTCTTGCCCAACCTCTGCTCTTTTTGAAACCAAAAGGTACAATTAATAACTCTACAAGGAGACCATGTCTTGGGCAAGCCAGGATGTATGCTCACTGATGTCAGAGTATTTGTCCCCCTACCCCTGAGTTGTCCCTGTGCCTCCATACCTCCTTTTCTATTCTGATTATTTCTCACCTGTTATTTCCAGTGATCTTCTAACTGGCTTTTCCTATGGCTGAACTCTCCCAGTCCCTTCATTCATGTTACGCATTATCGCTGTGGTGTCTCCCCGATTCACCTCTGATTGTGTCTTGTCTCAGTGTCTCATCTCTTTCTGCACTGTGGAGCTCAGACCCCTTGAGCAGACACTGCATTGTGACTGACTTGTTCCTTCCTGCTCTTTCTAGCATTACTTTCTTCTCCAGGATTTGCCATACTCCCCTTGAAACATAGGGACCTATGTGTAGTAGAAGGAACATAGGCTTCTGAATCTAAGATGTGGGTTTGAATCCCAATCTTCTCCTGCTGCCAGGTGGTGACTCAAATGATTGACATTTTGCTTTTTTGCTGTAAATTACTAGTTCTCAACCTATGGGTTGAGACTCCTTGGGGTTGACCAACTCTTTCACAGGAATCACATATCAGATATCCTGCATATCGGGTACTTACATTACAATTTATAACAGTAGTAAAATTACAGTTAGGAAGTCACAGCAAAAATAATTTTATGGTTGGGGGTCACCACGACATGAGGAACTGTATTGAAGGGTCACAGCATTAGGAAGGAAGATTGAGAACCATTGCTGCAAAGTGACTGTTCCAATATCTGTCTTTCCAAGTTGCTGTAGGTAGTACATGAGGTACTTGGGGAAAACACCTAGCAATGGTAATCTATTAGTAATGCTGGTTCCTCCTACTTTCTCTCCTTTCCATACAAATTACAAGTTCCTTGAGAGATAAGTACCATGTCTAAATTCCCTGTTGACTTTTTACACATTCTACCATTCAATTTAATTGTCTAGAATCTTAAATTGTGGGATTATATTAAGAATATGTTACCCTGGAAACAACCCAAATGCCCCTTGACAGGTGAATGTATAAATATGCATACTAATGTTTTTATATAAACACATGACATATATATCTCACATATATGTAATATATATTAGATTGCATATGTATTATATGTCAATGATACATAAAGTAGGTGGTCATCAGGAGCTCCTCTGGAATAGATCCTGGTAAACTTAGCACCTCTTCCAGGAGGAAATATGGAGTTTCAGGTTGGGAAAAAAAAAGTCTATGGAAATGCATGGTAGTAATGATCACCCTAGTGATCTATACTGAAGTATAGACTTCCAATTGTTTAAAAAATGGTTGCAATGGTAAATGTTATACATGTTTTGCCACAATAAAACAGTCTTAAAAAAAAGATGTGTTACTATTACTTCTAAGTAAATTGATAGATTCAGGGGAGAGAGCAGTGTGTGTTGTGTGGAATGCTGAGCTCAGTGGGGGGAGCTGCTGCTCTGACTTCATCCTGGTGTGTTAGGGGAGACGTATACTTTTATTAGGTGCTGAATATTCTACAGACACTCCTTGACTTAGGATGGTTTTATTTGTGATTTCCCCATTATATAATAATATTCTTTAAATGTGTGTGAAGATAATTTACATATGTTTGCATGTATGTGTGGTATATGTGTTTGTATTTACATGTGTGTGGGCACACATGTAGGAGTGTACATGGAGTGTATGTTGAGTATGGAAGACACTGAGAAGGTTAACATCAGATGTATTCTTCATTCTCTCTCTGCTTCATGTTTTAGGCAGGGTCTCTCACTGAACTTGGAGCATTAGCTGTCAAAGCAATAGACATTCTGTAGACTCCTCACTATGAATTTTGACTTTTGGTCTTCTCACACACCAGCAATACACATTATGTTATAATACACTTGTTTCCTGCTGGACGGCAGCTGCTGAGGCTCCCAGGCAGTCCCTCTTGTCCTGATGCTAAGCTGTGGTGATATGTAGGTCAGAGGTAGTAAATTCATTTCCAACGTGTGAGACTTCCAATTGGAGAGGGTTTATCAGGACACGAATTCCTGTAGAATGAATTCCTGATAAACAGCTGTACTCTGTTTCTTCTGACACTTGAAAGATAATTTTCAAAAAGGAAATGGCCTGATAGAATATAAACCAGCACTTGACGCAATGGGTGCATGTGGATCATTTTGTGTATTAATTTGGTTCTGTGCCAAGAAGTGTGGCAAGTGGTTTTGTTTTCTGGTAACTACCTTAGACCATTAAAAAACAGACATCTTTGGGACAAGAAGGATGGCACAATGGGCAAAGCCTTTTCAGGGGTAGGGTTCAGATCCCTAGAACTATAGAAACCAGGCAGGCATTTGTGGTGGCCCACCCGCCATCCTAGTGCCAGGGAGGCAGAGAGAGACCAGTGATAGCTAATGTTCCAGGTTCAGTGACAGACCCTGCCTCAATATGTCACCTGCAGAGAGACTGAGGAGGACATATGACCATGACCTGGGACTTCCATACTCATGACGTACACTGAATGTGTACCCTCCATGTGGGTGTTAATACACATGTGAATACAAATGCCACATACACATGTATCACATATACATATACATATGCAAGATTTGTCTTCATACTAGTTTTGAAAAAAAGAATATAAGCATAAAATAAGAATGAATATTTGAAGAAACAATTTATAAAATAGTACAAGGAGGGCTGAGGAGAAAGGATGCTGTGGCAATTGTCACATGCCTGCAGTGGGTCTACAAGGTGCTTCCACAGGGCTTTGCCATGCATTGCTGTGTGTCGCATATTCTCACCCCCTTGGACCTTTATGCACTTCTACTCCTCCAGAGACACAGACCACAAACTTTTTTTTTTTCCAAGACAGGGTTTCATTCTCTGTGTAGCTTTGTAGACCAGATTGCCCTTGAACTTACAGAGATCCACTGGCCTCTGCTTCTCGAGTACTGGAATTAAAGGAGTATGCCACCACCGCCCCACATGACATAACTTTTTTTTTTTAACCATTTCCCTAAACTTCATCTGCACAGGAGCTAATTTTGTTCTTAAATGAAAGTTGGGGGCTGGAGAGATGGCTCAGAGGTTAAGAGCAATGGCTGCTCTTCCAGAGGACCAGAGTTCAATTCTCAGCACCCACATAGTGGCTCACAACCATCCTTAATGAGATCTTGTGCCCTCTTCTGGCATGCAGACATACATGCAGGCAGAACACTGTGTACATAATAAATAAATCTTAAAAAAAATAAGTGTGTGCATGCTTGAGTGAGTGTGAGGCCTCAGAAAGTGTGTGGAGGAGCTTATTAAAAGAAAAAGAAAAAGAAAGTTGGGCTTTTCCAAATCTCATGAAATTCAACTTTGGGGTGTCTCAGTGCCTTAGTTAGTTCTGTTGCTGTGAAGAGATGCCATGACTACAGCAACTCTTAGAAAAGAAAACATTTAATTGGGATGGCTTACAGTTCGGAGGTTCAGTCTATTGTCATCATGGTGGGACGTGGTGGGATATGGTGGCACGAAGGCAGATGTGGTGCTGGAGAGGTAGTTGAGAATCTTATATCTTGCACAGACAACAAAAAGTGGTCTGTCTCACTGGGTATAGTTTGAGCATAGAAAACCTCTAAGCCGACCCCCCACAGTGACACACTTCCTCCAACAAGGTCACACCTACTCCAACAAAGCCAGCTCTCCTAATAGTGCTGCTCTCTTTGGGGTAAATTTTCTTTTAAACCACCACAGAGGGCAGCTTCAATATGTCCTGAACCATTTGACATCACTAAGGACATGCTGGATGGTGCCAGGAAGAGAAGAAAGGTGAATCAGAATTGGGAAGGGAAAGAATGTGCCGTTCCAACCAGGGGCTGCCTTTCCCATGGAGCATGGACAGGCAGTGGGTGTCACAGGCAGTGAATATCGAATGTCCCCAGCTCACTAATGTCAAAATGACTTAGATGGGAAGAGGCAGTCATTAAGGAGAATGGATTTCAGATTTAGTAGGTATTGGGTAGAGCCTCTAATGACTTGCTCTCTGCTTGCCTGTCTTCTTGCTTCAGTGAAATGATTTGATTTGAAAGCATCTGACTCATATTTTAGTCATTGTTTGGTGGTTCTACCATCTGAGCCATTAGTATGAAAAAAGAATCAATATGTCTCCAAGTGACAGTGTTTATTCTATATTCACAGACTTCCTAATTCTTCCTCAGAGGCTGGCTGCTGCAGAAAGCACTCCCACGGCCCTGCCTCTCCACTTTCAGTAATGATAGACTTGTCTACTTCTCTCTCTCTCCTGACTAGTATGAAAGACTGGGGATGTAGCTCCATGGCAGAGATTGTTTAGCATTTGTCAGGTCTTGGGTTCAATCCCCAACACTTACCCACACACAGAGTTAACAACCAAAGTGAGATTTTTCTGCTCTGATCCATGGAAAGATGCTGTCTTCTCCCCAATGTGTTTGGTAATGTTCCTTCCTTTGTATATGTGACTATAGAAAGCAATCTTTCCTATTTGTGCTATGTTAAAGATAATAAATGTGTTGATATTTAACAAGTGAAAGAATAGAGATATCATCATCTACTCACCCGAATTAAATAAAAATAAATTGCGGCTGTTCCTTCTTTAGTTTCCTTCTAGGATTACATGAGAAAATTGAATAGAAGTGATTTTTCCAAGTCATCTTTGTGCTGGACCCCACTCTTCCAGTTCCTTTCATCATCAGAGCATATTGCTGCACTCTGATGGTCTGCATGGGACAGATGCTGGTTTCTGCAGCTCTCTCATTGCTGGGGGAATCATGTACAAAGTACTCAGCCCTACACAGGAAGAATGTCATGGGCAAAGAGCTACAAATCTAGTGGAGGAGATAGTCAAACCAAGCGCGCGCGCGCGCGCGCACACACACACACACACACACACACACCAAAAACACCCCCCCCAACTCAAGCCAGGTATGGTGGTG